CTGAAAGCCATTAAATTCAGCAGAGGGTTTGGATCCCCATCTCCTTTCCCCCTTTTTCTGGTTGAAGCTTGGAGTTCTCTCATCTCTCACTCCGGGCTGTAAGGGCTTTCTTTCAGCAGCCAGCTGCCAACTTTCAGGAGCGTGTATATCCCTCTGCTTGTGTTTGTGTGTGTGACTCAGATACGCGAGAGCTACATTTCAGCTCCAGCATCACGTGGGGATTCAGAGTTCCTAGATTAGGGATGTTTACATGTGGGGTTCCAGTGTGGGCTAATTATTGAGTGACCCATATCGCAACATTCAAATCCTCACCGAAATCCTGACCAAAAATGTCCAAAGTTCAGGGACACTGGATTCAGGAGGGAATTCCAGGTCGATCTCTAATAAACAGCTGGATACCTATCTCCACGTGGATACTTCCATAGGTTTTTGTCTTTACACCCCGGGCCGCTGGCATCCAGAGCAGCTTTTTAAGAAGGCGCATACTGATGTCAGTAAAGGCAATGGGATTACCCACTGCTTAAAGGATTAGGGTGAGGAGCAGGCGTGACTGTTTGCAGGAGCAAGACCTTAATAAATATCAGATTTGTGTTTGAAATTCACTCTGTGCTAGTTTGCATGAGCACAGCTGTAACTGAAAGAATACTACGAACAGCGATAATCGAGAGATGTTGAAAACAAGCCTTATTTCTAACTCGGCAAACTTTTTGCCACCAGGTTTTTACACTCGGACATGCAGTTGGATAGGGATATGTACAAACACGCACACAGAAAAACAGAGCTGGGACGTACAGCCAATATACAGTTCTTGGCCAAAGACTTTATAATCTCTCCAGAGGGTCAAATACAATGTTAATTCTAGATTCCCTTTACGTACTGTGTTTGCTGATAAACATTTTTGCGCAGATAAACATTTCAGGCCAATTTCCTATTTGTATCCCCTGTGGTGCAATGTCTGAGTGCATACTTGTCTAGAGAGAAGCAGCTTTATACAGCTTGAAAACACATAACTCTTAAATCAGAGTTTCTCTTCCCGCTTTTCACGTTGACTCATGACACAGCCTCGTGACTTCGGCAAGTCACTTAACCTCTTAGTGCCTCTCTCTGTCTGCTCTAAAGGTTTCTGGAGTGTCCATTACTGTAACACCGTAGTACAGAACCTTGCACTGAATTCTGAATGGGTGAACTTCTGCATCTGGGGGGAATTTACTGCCAGCTTTCATCTCTTTACTGTCAGCCTGTCAGATCAGGGACTGTGTCCTTTCTATAGCACAAAGGGGTCCAGATCCTGGTTAGGACCTCTCCCCGTAAAACAATAACCGGTCAAAGGAGATGAATACTTACCTGGCTCACAGGTGTGTTGCAAAAGTTAATGAAGTAATGCAGGTGAATGCCTTGTCAATCTTCAGATGGAAGGTGCTTTGTAAGCCTTAAGGATTGCTTCATTCTGGACAATATTATTTTATTTTGTATTTACATAGACATATGAAAGGAATTGGTGATTGTCTCTAGATATGGCTCAGACAATTAGCTGTTGCACTCAAATGAGGTACAGTTCTTGACAATCCCAGTAGGCAAAAATAAAATCATCAGTGCTGGAAACTTGCCATCTGTCTCTCTGCCAAGTAGCGTGGGTGATGCATACTTCTACGGCTAAATTGTTTACTACACCCAATAAGCCTTCCACTTGCTCCATTGAGAACTGAGTCAGCCAGCGGTGACTCGCCGCCATCAAAGAGTGCTGGGCATGTTTAACTTTCCTTGAGAACTGTCTTCTAACAGCTCCACAAACCATGGCTCTGATCTGAACTCTGCTCCTGATACAGGTGTCCTGTCCTAGAGTCAGTACGCACAAGAGCAGCTCTGTTCTTTCCAGTGGGAATGTGATCAGGGAGGCAGGCTCTCAGACAAAGCCCTCTCCTCTCCTTTCCTTTCCTCTCCTCTCCTCTCCTCTCCTCTCCTTTTCTTTCCTCTCCTCTGCTCTCCTCTCCTCTCCTCTCCTCTCTGCTCCTTGACAATCAGAACACAAGATGACAGAAAAATCCCTTTTGATCTAATTCATTCCCATTGGTCTTTTAATACTTTCAAATCCTAGCTGGTTTGGGGCGTCTTTTTTTGTCACACCTGCCTCCAGCCTAAAGAGTAGTCCCAACTGAGAAGAAAAGGACTGAGAAAGAGGGTGGTTTCACCTCACATGGAGGAATGAAAGCCTCCCACCTACCCTCCAGACACTTCCAGTTCTGCACAGGTTCCCTGAGCCTTGGGCCTGGCCATGTAGGAATGAGCTAAAGTCATGTCCCCCCCGATGGCTCCTGATTGTAGATTCACAGGTAAGAGCCAACCGAGCTGCGTAACTGCTTGCTCCCCACTTCAGAGGTGGTGAGAAGACAGTGGCGTGGACTAAGAGAACCTACTCTCTGCTCCACAAGAGTGCTGGGCTGCACGGCTGAGCTGGCACGAGGGCAGGCATTCATTTTTTGCTATGTTATAAGCTAGTAGCATCTCTTTTCCTTCAGGAGCAAGAGGGAATTAGGGGTGTGTCTAAACTACATGGCTCCGTCGATGGAGCCATGTAGATGAGGCTGATCGGCAGAGGGAAATGCAATCAGCACCAGCCCAGAAGTAGACCTAAGAGAGACTCCTCTCCGTGGCATAACTCCTTCTCCTAGGGGTGTGTCTAAACTACATGGCTCCGTCGATGGAGCCATGTAGATGAGGCTGATCGGCAGAGGGAAATGAAGCCGCGATTTAAATAATCTCGGCTTCATTTAAATTTAAAGGGCTGCCGCGCTCTGCCGACCAGCTGATGATCAGCTGGTCGGCAGAGCGCGGCAGCCCTTTAAATTTAAATGAAGCCGAGATTATTTAAATCGCGGCTTCATTTCCCTCTGCCGATCAGCCTCATCTACATGGCTCCATCGACGGAGCCATGGAGTTTAGACACACCCCTAGGAGAAGGAGTTATGCCTTGGAGAGGAGTCTCCCTTAGGTCTACTTCTGGGCTGGTGCTGATTGCATTTCCCTCTGCCGATCAGCCTCATCTACATGGCTCCATCGACGGAGCCATGGAGTTTAGACACACCCCTAGGAGAAGGAGTTATGCCTTGGAGAGGAGTCTCCCTTAGGTCTACTTCTGGGCTGGTGCTGATTGCATTTCCCTCTGCCGATCAGCCTCATCTACATGGCTCCATCGACGGAGCCATGGAGTTTAGACACACCCCTAGGAGAAGGAGTTATGCCTTGGAGAGGAGTCTCCCTTAGGTCTACTTCTGGGCTGGTGCTGATTGCATTTCCCTCTGCCGATCAGCCTCATCTACATGGCTCCATCGACGGAGCCATGGAGTTTAGACACACCCCTAGGAGAAGGAGTTATGCCTTGGAGAGGAGTCTCCCTTAGGTCTACTTCTGGGCTGGTGCTGATTGCATGCCACCCCTCACATGTGATGTGCTAAGGTGTTACAGCGATGGACACTAGAGAAACTTCTACAGCAGACAGACAGAGGCACGAAGAGGTTAAGTTCCAGCTCCCGACAAGCTTAGACTGTTATCTCACCTTTAGAAGCAGCCTTCCTGTCACAGAGCAGGGGACAACACAGGCAAACCGGAAAATCTGCTTTCCTTGTATTGCACCTGGTCCGGTCTGCATATCACTGTGGGGTTGGTGTTCCAGAATTGTTCGCCTACGCATCTCCCACCCTTGCCAGCATCTACCCCTCTCCCCCTTTTCAAAATAACAGATACTTCTTGGGGGTTCTCATGCTGCAGCAGCCCTATCAATGGGCGTCGGCGGTGGGGTGGCTTTAACTGCACATTTGCTTCGCCGGCTGAATTTCATTTCATTGACTTTGTTAAGGTAGAACGTGAGCAGGTAGCTCCTGCCCTCAGTGGAATGACACAACAGCTAGGAATGTGCGGGTTGCTGCCCTATCAGTCTGCTGGGTTAATCATCTATAAAGGGAGAGCAAAGTCTCAACACTCTTTGCACTTGACTGCACGGTGGGAATTTGAGGGATGGGCCAATGGCATTCTGAGGCCGGCGTGGTCGAGTGGAGAGGGAAATCCACCCAATGGAGAAGGGTGGCAGCACAAGGGTGGGCGGGCCACTTTGGACTTGAGTTGTGACTCTGTGAGTGGGCTGCAGTGAGGCAGGTCGGCCCCTAATGCCCCCAACTGTGGCCTGGATCTCTCCACACCAGACCTGCACTGGCCAGCACAAGACCAGTGACGAGGCCAAGAAAAGGAGCTGAAAGGAACTACACTGATGCAGAACCAAAGGCTTCAGCATACCAAGTGCTGAGGCAGGCTGAATCAGCTGCCTCCGTACACAGGCTGGAGGAATGATTAGGGTGGGCTGAGGAGAAGCCTGTAATATTCACCTCCCAGACCACCTTCTTTCTCACCACCACCCAACTGGTAGAAATACCTTGGGCTCTATTCAGGTATCATGCATTTTCGCTGGGGCCTGATACAACGTCCCTGAAAGTCAGGGTGTCTTTTGATTTGGTTT